GTTTGCCAGAAGCTGGAAGAGAAGGCCCCCAATCATGAACAGGCCCATCGGCCACACCACCCCTAGAAAGGTAAGGGGTGAGAGAAACAGAAATGGCCAAATGTGGGGACAGTAAAGGCATGGGGTCAGTGAAGGCCAAGGACACGCCCAAGAGAAGGCTGGCCTGGGGGTGGGAACGAGAATGGGCCACCAAGGGTCATAGGCAGCAGAAACCCATCGAGAGGATGGTCCAAGCAGGTGTAAGGACTGAATGGGAAAATCTGTGGACTGTCTGGAGGCCTACAGAAGGTGACTGAAGGTAGAATGTGGATAAAAGAGAGAAGGCAAAAGAGGGAGGGAGAAAAGAAAGATGGCATGAGGCGGCCTCCTTCCTGGAGTACTGGGCACAGGCAAATACAGAGTCCTTGAGTCCTTGGGTCCTTGTGGGTTCAGGGGGCTGTGAGCACAGTCCTGCCAGGCAAGACACAAATCAACCAAGGGTGCTTAGTGGAGCAGCCTGTTAGTCACACTCAGACTGCACACATCTCAGACAAGGCCCATGTTCCAGGACCTGCTGGGCTTGGACAGAAGGTCCTAGAGCCTGGTGAGAACTGTGGGGCAGTCTCTCTGTGACATGCTGGTGAAGCCAGGCTGTGCCAGGAAAAAACATCTTACTAGCTGTCAACTGGTGGCCTTGCTCTGTTCCCACGAAAGGGCAGGAGGTCATTCTAATTAGGGGAGGATTACCATCTCCTTTAACCCACCATCTCAACCCATGGCTAAAGGGTTTCTAAGCATGTGTGGTCTCTTTGAGAATAAGCCTTCCCCACTTTGCTGCCCAGACAACTCAGGGATGATGACTGTGTCTAACTGTCCACTGGCCCTCACTGGCTCCCATGCATCCCACTTCTGCTCAGTTTTCTGAGGGCTGTGGTGTCCCCTTGCCTGAGTACACTCAGTAGGACATGGCACTCCCCACTGTCCACCAAAGAGCTCTAGAAAGTGAGACCTAACTTTCTGCAGCAGTTTGAGAATGACTGAAAGGGGCCCTGCATCTCCCCGCAAAGACACTCTCTATAGGTTTGCTTAAGCACCCATCAGAATGTCCTCAGTGAGGGTAAAAGCCTCCTAGAGGCCTGGGAAACTGGTTACAGCACGGTTTCCTGGAGGCTCAGTGAGTCTGGAGCTGACTCATTGCTAGAAACGAGAGGATGTCTGTAGCTCATTAGCATCCCATCACCTGCACAAGGGCAAGTGAGGTGAATCTGTGATAGGATTTGGCATGGGAGGGAAAGTTCAGACCAGGTCTGTCCAATAAAAATATTGTGTGAGCCACACATGCAAACCACATATGTAATTTAAAACTTGTAGTAGCCACATTAAAATGTAAAAAGAATAAGAGCTGATGGCTGGGTGCAGTGGCCTATACCTGTAATCCCAGCACTTCGGGAGGCTGAGGCAGGTGGATCACTTGAGGTCAGGAGTTTAAGACCAGCCTGGCCAACATGGTGAAACCCTGTCTCCACAAAGTACAAAAATTAGCCGGGCACCATGGTGCACACTTATAATCCCAGTTACTTGGGAGGCTGAGGCAAGAGAATTGCTTGAACCCGGGAGGCAGAGGTTACAGTGAGCCGAGATCGTGCCACTGCACTCCAGCCTGGGCAACAGAGCGAAACTCTGTCTCAAACAAAACAAAACAAAACAAAACAAAACAAAACAAAACACAAGAGCTGATATAATGTCAGGGCCCTAACTGCCTCCTTTTTTCCCTATGCAAGTATGACTCTTGGACCATGGTTGCAGATCCTTGAAATTCTGAAGTTTGAGCCACGAATTTGCATTTGGATTTTGTCCTTGTGAAAAGGAAAAAGCCTCAGGGGACCTAGGTTCTCGTGTCCGCACCAGTATGGAGGGATTGAGATAGGTTTGAGACAGGACGCAGAGGCTGGCACGAAGGCAAAAGGTGCCCAAAGAAGTGTATGAAGGGGAGAAGGGGTACTTCTGGGAGGTCAGGGCAGACTGTTGCTGGCCTAAGAAAATGGAACATCCAAGAAAGAAAATTATCTTCAAGAAATGAAGTCAGCAACCTTTTTCTGTGCAGGACCAGAGGGTAAATATTTAGGTTGTGCAGGCCACATGGCCTCAGCTCTGTAGCCATAGTATGAAAGCAGCCAGAGGCACAACACACAAGAGAGTGTGGCTGTATTTCAATAAAACTTTACTTACAGAGCAGGCCACATTTGGCCTGCAGGCTCTAGTTTGTTGGCACCTGTTTTAGACAATACCTAAAAATCCCAGACAGCCTCCTTAGGTCCTGGGTTTTGAGCTTCTCCCGTGCTTGGTTCACATTTCCTCTGTGCTGCATTCTATTTATTCTGTTTACCTGTTTGTGGTCTCCCTGACATTGGGGGCAGATGCATTGTGTCCCTGGTGCCAGCACAGAACAGGTGTTTAACACATATTTGGGGAGAAAGTATGTGTGCAGAGGAGAGGAAGACAACAGACAAACCTCACTGAGCATTTCCAGCCTCTTGGCAAAAAGCTACAGGGCTCATGTAGGAAAAGAGATCTTTGCTGACAGCAAACCCTACCAGGAGACAGCAGCCTGGCTTACTGCGTCACACCTTGTTAAAATGCAAACCCATGGGCCAATTTTGACATCAGGGCTAAACCCCAGAAAACTGCGCCACTGGAACTGCCGGCAGACAGGAGCCCTCCCCAGCACAGATCCCATTGCCATTCGCTGCAGCCTCCTTTGATGAGGAGGAAAAACACTGCAGCTAGCCAGAGGTATAAAAATGCTTTGTTATGAGAAAATCTAAATGTCTCTCTAGGCCTGTGCAGTACCATTAGGTGACGTCAATGGCTCAGGGTATCTGAGCTCTGCGTTTCCACTTTTCTAGGAGCAGCAGCTAATTCATGGTAGTCAAGGCGTTTCTATTTAGAGCGTCAGGAAAAAAGCAGGTGGCCCCCCACCCCTGCGTCCTAGAGTCCTGTGCTAAGGACCTGCCTGCTCTCCCTGTGAGGCAGGAGAGCTTTACAGCTGGCAGGAGGCCAGGACTGAGACATTCAGTTTCATTAACGCTAGCCACCAGCTTGAGGGCCTACTACATGCCAGGCAGTGTGGGCACACAAGGACAGCACAGACCAGTGGCCCTGCTAGAGGGGAGAGGGCAGTTTAGCACACAAATAGCTGTGATGATGATGCTGGTGGTTGGGGGGTGACACAAAGAAAAGAGGGTACCTCAGCGGCCTTCAGGAAGAAGGTGGTACTTAATGTTTCTTGCACTGGGCCATGAAGGACTGGTAGGACTTGAGCACATGGAGTTGCAGGGAGACTGGTGACAGGGAGAGTGGGGGTCCCCGTCATTAAGTGAGAAAGAGGGTAAGGAACAGGAGCAAGGCTGAGTTGGCGGGGAAAAGGCATGAATTGTACTTGGTCAATTTCTGGCATGAGAATGAATGAGCCCCAGGGGACCTGTGTCCTCTACTGTGGATCCACAGCCAAGAAATGCTGGTCTGCACTACTTGTGTTCAGAAGTTCGTCTTGAAAGAGACACCAGGTGTCCTGTCCCTCTCTTTCTGCCTGTGTCAGCTCTTAAGAAGAACTCATTCTTTCTCCTGGTATGTAGCAATAAGGCTGTTGGAATACTTTTTTTTTCTATGAAAGGCCATTCTTTCCTTTACCAGAGGTCTCCAAGGACTTGGCTCTTGTATGACTTTATGGTTATGTGAAAACGTGCTGATTTCAGATGAAATTCTCAGTACTGGAGGGAGGATTTTTATCTTGAACTATATCTTATAAAGGAGCACACGGACATGGACCCCTTTGATAGCCTGAGACAACCAACTGAAAACCCTCACAGGCTCACTGCGCTCACCCCACTGTCTACTCACGTCCTGCTGGTTCCAGTTGATCTCCAGGCCTGGCTGGGCTTCACCTTCTCATCCAGCACTTCACACATCTCTGCCATCCTCTACTAAAATGGATTATGCCACAGAAGCCCTTGAAATCCCTTAGAGATACTGTCCCTCTTTAAAATCTTCATAAAAATCAAAGACCACATGTTGTAAGTTTTCAAAAATAGATCACTGATAATTATGCTTGTTGTATAATTGTTAATCTATAAATTATAATGCATGAAGTGAAAATACACATAATCCAGTAGTAAAAGTACTAATCAAATAGAAAAAATACCTATACCAATGTTGCCCTCCATTACAAAATTACCCAGGCGCGGTGGCTCACGCCTGTAATCCCAGCACATTGGGAGGCCAAGGTGGGCGGATCATGAGGTCAGGAGATTGAGTCCATCCTGGCTAACATGGTGAAACTCCATCTCTACTAAAAATTCAAAAAAATTAGCCGGGCATGGTGGTGGGCACCTGTAGTCCCAGCTACTTGGGAGGCTAGGCAGGAGAATGGCGTGAACCCGGGAGGTGGAGCCTGCAGGGAGCCGAGATTGTGCCACTGCACTGCAGCCTGGGTGACAGAGCGAGACTCCGTCTCAAAAAAAAAAAAAAAAAAGTTATTAAATACAGTGGCTTCTTAAAATTCTGTTACTGCAGATGATAACATTCAGATGTATTGCTCTGTATGATGTAAGGGTAAGAAAAAAATCGCAGTACTAATTTGGAATGATTCTTGTTTTTGATATGAATTTGTAGGGGTGAAATGCTCAAATCGATATAACTTTCCAACTGATTAAGAAATTAAGATAAAAAATAGGACTTTTTTTTATTTGGGGGAAGAATTTTGTGCCTTCATATATTAGTCTGGAGAGTTCCTCAGCCACAAGCTAAATCATAACCAATGTGCACTACAAATAAAGTGATATAGGCTTGCTGGGAAATAAAAAAATTTGTCAGAGGAACCTACTTTTCCCATAAATCTGCTTAATTGGCAGCTACAATTAGACATGGAGAAAGACAAGCAGAGAACAGTGGTGAGACAAGCAGAGAACAGAGGTGACGCACGGCCAAACGGACAGAGCAAACAAAGTGAGCTGATACCGTACCTGCTTATTATTGTCAGTGGTACAACACAGTTTCTTGAGGGAGACAAAATGCCTAATTTTCCTAATAACAAACAATCAGTTATTAGTGAGTCAGATACGAGATGATTCAACAAATTGCCAAATAAAAACGTCAACAGACTTCTTAAAGCTAAACTCCAGGGTTCATCCTAGGGCAGCTTTAAAATTCAAGCAAGACTCAATCTACAGAAAACACAGTTTTCACACAGAGCCCACACATGCCTTTGGAAACTGGGCCTCCTTTATACATCACAGCGGGCTCAGAAACACTTCCCTAGTGGGTATCTCATTTTGTAACTGACTCCTAAAGTTAGGTTCCTAGATATCTTCAGTTGATAGGATAAAATGCTGCTACAAACAAATTAGTTTTAATTCTGCTGACACTAACGATTGCATAGCTACAAAAGATTCATTTGGACAATGACCACATTTCATGGCTGCTGTTTCTATACTAAATATCCCATATTCTTTCACACTATAATTGTCATAATAATGGCACTTTTCAGGCACATAAAAATCCTCTCATTTCAAGGTCATGGACTGGGTCCTGAAACTCAGTGGGTTGTCTCACTATTTATCACTGTCACAAGGAAAACCGGGCAAAAGACTACAGGTGCCTCAGCCCCAGGCAAAAATCAGCTCACAGTCAATATTTTACTGAAAGTAAAGCCATGAAATCCAGAGAGTTACATTAGGCTTTCTGCCCCCAGAAGCCCGTGGGGGTACCCCACTTTCTCTCTCTTTTTACCTGGTTCACTTTTCTCTGTAGGCCTCTGAAAAGAGGATAGAAAATACTGGTTACTCTGTAATAAACTTCACTCAACTAGGAAGAGGTAAAATTTCCCTACTTTTAGTAAGAATTGCCTCTGATAGCTCACTGCCTACAGTTACAGGGAAAATAACACTGGAAATTGTGTCTGGACAAAATAACTTCTTTTTCTTATCTGTAAAATCAGAGAGATCAGAAAAATGTACTCTGATGGAAATTAACAGGCAATAGCATGTCTCCTCTGCTTTGGTTGCCCTAATGCTTCTGGTCACACACAAAAAGGGATTCTTAGCTTTGATTTTCTGAGGAGATGGTATAAGGATGAGGATAAAAACAACACGACAGCCATGGGCATCATCTCCACCCCACAGCTCTCAGCACTGCCTGTGTGTGAGAATGGCTACGCTGAGGCCGGGCTGCTCAGGAGGAGGGCAGAGGGGCAGCCTCTCTCCAGCTCACAACCTCGGTCAGGGGCCTGTCAGTGCCCCCATCATCCAGAGTGAAGCAAAAAGGGAGCTGCAAATTACAAAACGACATGAAATACCAGGTGGTATTGACAGGAGGTAGCCAGCATTGATGGGAGAGCAATTTTGAAACTAACCAAAATTGGAGAGGAAACAAGCTATTACAAATACCTGGCTACCTGGCTGATTTTATAAAACATCTTTTTTCTATTCATGCAACAATTTGCAATGAACTCAGGTAGTCCTAAGAGTCACAGGTGGGGCTCCTGTTCCAGTTATTGGCAGGATGACTGTGGCCTCATCTTTTTCTGACATATCACACAATGTTGTGCTCCTTATACACCCAAACTATGAACCTGGTGTTGACCTTCAGGCTGGCTTCCCAAGGCTCACCATGATGTATGGTTACGGGGTCCTGTTTGGCTTTGTAAATCTCACAAAATTTAACTGGAGGAAGGAAGAGGAACTGCATATTTTTCTTATCTCTCCACATAACAGAGAACCTTCTCTGGTAATCTGAGATTCAGTGGATTGAGATGCCCTCAGCTCCCGGTCAGACACACCTTTCTCTCCATAAACAGTGGGCCTCCAAGGAACAAGCCCAGAACTGGCCTGGAGGAACCAGCATGGGGTGAGGGTCTCAAGCAGGAGAAAAGGGTGGCTCCCTATGCACTGAGTACAGAGGCCAGAGAGCACTGGCAGGAGATCATTGTTGTTATGGGGAAATGGAAGCCCAGAAATCAAGCCCCTTTAGAGCACACTGGGAATGACAGAAGGCATAGGTGATCAGGTGGAGGTGGGAGGCTGGGGTGATGCTTCATAAAGACATGGAAAACCATGTATGGGGGTTGCTGCCGGCTGAGTGGAAGCACCCTCGGTCGATACTACATTCAGCACAACCCTACTGCATTTGGGGATGTAAGGCTCATACTGGCATTGCAAGCCCAATGCCCATGAGGGCCTTGAGTCTTTATCTTCAGCTAAAAGAGTTGAACAGTTTGCTCTCACCCTCCTTGGCCAATCACTGGGGTGATCTTCACGTGCTGTTGGATGCTGTCCCCGGATTTCCGTCTGGCATAGTAAACCCCCTGCCACTCCTACATGGACAAAGAGAGCTCTTAAAATCCTTCAGTCAAGGATAACAGCTGCTCCTGCAGAGGGTCTCAGCAGGCTGCGAAGGAACGTTCCCACATGCTTTCATTACATTTCACAATGCCTGCTATATTGTTGTACTCAATGCAATGCTGATGTGGCCATATGTGTGAAGACAAGACCACAGATCCACATATCCACCAACAGGCTGTCTGTCCCAGCTTCCAGGACACTTGACCTGTGGGTGGAATTCTGCTCTCAGCCCTATGGCTGCTGTGGCAACAGGTCAAAGGATTCTTCAGAGGTCTCTCTCAAAATCTTCACAGCAATCTGTGAACTTGGCATTATCATACTAAATTTACAGATGGGTAAACTGAGGCTCAGAGAGTCTAGGTAACTTGCCCACATTAGGATGCAGAAAATCTGCTTATAAATTCATGTCTATTTAACACTCGCTGAAGCCCATCATCTTCCTAACATCCTATGGGCCCCCCAGCCAAGGCTTCTCAGGGGTTAGTCTGGCTCCTCATAGTTTCCATGAATGAGGCCAAAGGGAGAGTAAAGGTTCCTGTTCTCTGAACCTGGGAGGTTTGGCTAATCAGAAACTTAGATTCCCTGCAGCCATTTCTTGCCCCCTCTATCACATAAGGTTGCACCTTGGTATGTGTGGCTGTATTCTTTTGGCAACAATTTTTGGAATAGTTAACAATATCTTGTTTCCTTTTTGGTCTCATTGCCCCAGATAAAAAACATTTTTTGATCATCATCTATAATCCAAATTTATCTTATCCCTCTAAAATGTTCCCTCTATTAAATGGATACAGTGCTTATCTAACTACTTCACATCACAGAAAGGAAAATGAAATAAATTGTATGTGAAGAAGCATTCTGAATGCTTAACAGAAAATGCACAGGCAGTTCCAGCGATGAGAGGCAGTGCTCCACAGGAGGAGAGGGCTTCAGGGAAAACTCCTCTCGGACTTCCATCATTACCTTCATCTACCCAGATGAAGGGGAAGCCACTGGAGGAACAGGTGCAGCTGGGAGGAGGAAGCTACAAATGTATGTTGAACAGTGATCAGAGAACAGAAAAGAAAAACTGGGAAAATACCTGGTCTACCTATAAATACTGATATTAAATATGTCTAGTCCCCCAAACACTGGATAAACTGAAAAAACACAACAGCTCTCTGGGTGGAACTCTGCTCAGAGATATCCACAATATTCCAGCAATGGCAGATGGGATATATTCATGCACAGGATGAAATGTTTTTACACAAAATCCCCATATTCTGTAACATAATGATAAGCACCAGATTCACTTGAGTTCCAAAGTTAACTCAAAAATGAACTCATTTTGCAAAAATAAAAGATCTTTCACTTAATTATGACATTATTAAAGAAGCTAATCTTAAGGATGAAATTCTAAAACTCACAGAAAAAAAAGTGCATTGGGGAGAGGGTTTGTGGATTGGTTTTGCTGGTGTAACCCACCTTTCCCTTCTTGATGCATGTATTGATGGTGTCGAGAAGGTCTGCCCGGTTCTTATCGCTTTTGGGCAGATCAGCGAGTTCTTTTCCCAGGAGCTCACCTTTGTGGTAGCCCATCATCCTTTCGAAGGCTGGGTTGACATACTGTTAATGGGAGGTGGGTAGAGATCAGTGCGGGGACACAAGACAGAGTTCATGAAACGTCTGTGTGCCCCGTAGGAAGACTTGTTGGGACCCAGAGGAATATCAAGCAAGAAGTTCCCAGGGCAAACATCCTCTAATGCAGTTGGCTGGCCAGGTGCTGCGGCCCCGCTCCATCCCCAAACCCTTCCTGGAGGAGTTCCCTCCTTCCTGGCAGCAATGTATTCATTCAACTGCCATCCTGATCCTCTGTAGGAAATCAGAAGAAACTTCAGCAGGAAAAAAACAGGAAGCCCTCATCTAGCAGTACCAGCCTCTTGGGGAACTCATTCCCCATCTACTACCCCATGAATAAGGAAAAACGCAGACAAAAAAAAAAAAAAAAAAAAGAATTAAAAATAAATTAGGACTGGGTCCATATGTTTGTAGTTAAAAAAATAAAATAAAATTTTAAAAAAAAACAGTTTCAGGCTGGGCACAGTGGCTCACGCCTGTAATTCAATTCCAGCCCTTTGGGAAGCTGAGGCAGGAGGATCAGCTGAGCCCAAGAGTTCAAGACCAGCCTGGAAAACACAAAATAAAATATATTAAAAAAAAACACCTCTACAAAAATAAAAAGAAATTAGCCAGTTGTTGTGGCACACACCTGTAGTCCCTACTATTGAGGAGGCTGAGGCAGAAGGATCACTGGAACCTGGGAGTTTGAGGCTGCAGTGAGCTGTAATTGCACCATTGCACTCCAGCCCAGGCAACACAGCAAGACCCTGCTTCTTATAAACAAACAAATGAACAAATAAGAACTCCATTCAACAGTGGTGGCCTGTATTATACACATCTCTGCAACTGGATTTCTCATGTCTCCTTTCCAATTGCCACTACCTATCGATCAATATTTGCTACAGTTTGGGGCCACTACCAGTAGAATCAGAACAATAAATTCAGTTAAATGGCTTGGGCAGGAGGCAGCCCTTTCAGTGCTGGGCTCAGGCAGATGTGAAGCTCCCCTCAGCAGATTCTGGGGCCAGCAGACTCAGAGGTTTCTTTCCAAAATTCTGCCTGGGGTCCTGGAATTTAGAGCCATGACCCTAGCTAACTCTCAGGTCCTGTCCCACCCTCTGATTTCTTTTCAAAGATCACAGATGGGGGCTGAATGCAGAGAGACAAGCGGTAAAGAATGTGGGGAAAATGTAAACAGACTGCATCTGGGTCATGAATTTCTTTGGGCTTAAATTGCATCCATCTGCTACTTCGGAGATGTTCGAACCAACTGTAATCACTCTTGCCCTCAACTGCGATGGCAGCAGTCATGAACGGGGTGGCGTGGGGACAGTTAGGGAGCTGTTCCCTGGGAGACACAGCTTCCATTAACATGATCACCCCTGAGAGTTGAAGGGATTTGGAAGATGCTCTGGTCATCAGGCCTTTGGTGGGTGACTGAAGAGGAGGGGGCCTGATATTGTCTTCATGGAACTCCAGACCCCCAACCCCCGGCCCCATCACTGACATGTAGTAGTCAGGGCTCTCCCTAGGCAGGGAAGGGCATCACTTACAGTGTGGCCCCTGCTCACAAAGCCAGTCTCACACCTCCCTGGGCCACCCCTGCAGGCTGCTGAGCTGTCTGCATGTCTCCCTCATCTCCGGGCCTTTCCCCCACGAGCTTTCTCTGCTTACAATTCCCTTCCCGGTCTCTTTCCCTCTCCAACTCCAATTTATCCCTCTTTTCTTCCAGGAAGCCTTCCCTGACTCCCCTAACCTAGTTCACTCCCAAGAGCTGCCACTGATGCCTGTGCAGACTTTCAGTGACTTATTACACCGAATTTAAATTTTTGTTTCTCTCTCTTTCCCAGTGGACATTCAACTCCTCAAGGGCAAAGGCTATTTTGAATTAATCTTTGGATACTCAGGACTGTTTAGTAACTATTTGATGAATGAATAGAAAATATTAGAGAATATGTTATTTTCTTTATTTGTTAGCTATATTCTAACACCTTTTCATATGTGTTCCTTCTGCCTTCCCTATTAAGTTGTAAATTTGGGTAGAAGTCATGGCCCTTCTTTCACACCAGGGTTCCTGAAACCTCAGAAAGCAGCAGGTACTCCCAGATATGGATTCTGGAGCCAAGGCACCTAAGTTCAAATCCTGGCTCTGCCAATTACTAGCTACAAAACCATGGACAAATTACTTAACTTCCCTAGTTCTCAGTTTCCCCATCTGCAAAATGAGTACAATAGTGATACGTGATTCATAGGATTGCTTTAAGAAATAAATGAGTATATGTAAAATGCTTAGAACTGAGCCTCGTATATGGCAAGTACCATATTAAGCGTTTTAAAGAAAATATATAGTTTAGATAGATAGGGGCATGGAGGAAGAGAGGAAGGATAGGAGGGAGGGATGGATGGGTGGATAGATAATAGATGGATAGACACAGATAGACAGGTATTGCTTCTAAATTTTAAGTGCTGCTACTTGACCTCTGAAGATTTGTACTCAAAAAAGCATCTAACTATTTGATTGGAGTGCCCTGAAAAGGATGCTGATATCAAGTAAAATCATACATGAACTATCCCATCCAGTGATGACATCCTCAAAATTTATAGCACATAGGTAATTTCACCATACATATAACATCCTCTATCCAGCTCCTTCCTCCTTCTTCTCATTTTAAGTTCCATACTACAGATTGCTGGTACATTTTCCTAAAGGAGGATGAAAAGGTTCCCAGAGAAAAAAGCTGTAAGGTCTTCTTTCAGAATCCAAGTTTCCCTTTAAAGGCAGTGACTCTCCTTCCACCTCTCCTTTACAGGCATCTGTTATACTGGCCTCATGCACCTGTTTCTTTCTGTTCATGGCAAAGGCTGGGAGATGATTAATATCATAATGTGACACCATCACAATAGTACCTCTCCCAGGGATACAGGTTTTCTAACCACCAATTGATAACTGGAGAATGAAAGACTGTTCCCTATTCTAGAAGTTGTTTGTTAGATAACAGGTGGAGGGGCAGGGAGCCCCTTCTCCTCATTTCTGAAATCAAATCCAGCTGCACACTGCAAAACAGGGAGGTGCCAAGAAAATGTGCTTCATGAATAGATTTGATTGTTCAAGTCTGGGTATAAGTAAGGGAGATGTGGGATTTTTGTGCTTGGTCTATAACAGAAACATGTCAGACACTCTCTGAGGTCCAAGAGGCAGACCTGTGGGCAGGTGGGCCACTAATAGCCAGCAACATGAAGAAGCCTTCAGATACATTTCAAGGGGGCAGCCAGAAAACATATTCTAACAATACAGCTAAACAGGAAACCAGGTAGGAAGGCTTTGGAGACATGACTACATATTTTAGTTCTGATATTTAGTACTAAGGCTTTCCTTGGATAAGTTCCTTGACCTTGTTGGGACTCAGTTTCCTCATCTGCACTATAGGGCAATGATTTCTCTCCTACCCTTACTGAATAGAAACAAGACAACCTAATGAAAGTGCTGATGACAGGGCCTAGGCAGGGTGGGCTACTGACGTTATTGGTCTGGTATGAGAACGGGGTGTGTACGTGTACACTGGGAGATTAGGGCAGACAAATGTGAGGCTTCTGCTGTCGGCTTCACTGCGTGTTGCCCACTGTCTTTGGTGCTCTACTGACGACAAGCGCTCCTCACGCTCCATGCCACTCTGCAAACCAACTGCAGGCAAACAAGCACCAATTCGTGGAAAGTCTATATTTCAGAGTATTTTACAAATACAGACGTCTTACTTTCCAACCATTATAATAAGAATACCTCATTTCTTGAAAGGTTTCTCTGCTACACACATTTCCTTAGGAAGATGACATTCATGTAAGAATGCTTTATAATTAGAATACCCTCTGCAGGTAAACAAATGAATGTCTTTGAAAATATTCTGTTCCATAGACATTTATAAGCATTTACTGTACCATTCTGACTTACTTCTATGTGAATAGTGTCTTCACAGATGGTCAAAAGAATTTACCCCGGTTCTAGCTGGGTGCAGGGACTCACGCCTATAATCCCAGCACTTTGGGAGGCCAAGGCAGGTGGATCACTTGAGGCCAGGAGTTTGAGACCAACCTGGCCAACATGGTAAAACCCCATCTCTACTAAAAATATAAAAATTAGCTGAGTGTGGTGGCATACGCCTGTAATCCCAGCTACTTAGAGGAACAAGAATCACTGGAACCTGAGAGGCAGAAATTATACTGAGCCAAGATGACCACTGCCTGGGCGACAGAATGAGAATCTGTCTCAAAAAATAAATTTTCTTAAACCCCATTTCTGTCAAAGAAATTGCAGGTTCTGATCTGAAGTAATCATTTTTTGTTCTTTATTGAATATCTAATTCTTAAGTCTATCAGTATTCTTTGCACAGCTTGATATTTATTTCTCCTAAGAAAATGTGCTGATATGTGAGGTTGATGGGAAAGTACTTGATAAAAAGTGTGGCTTAAACCTGAAAGGTTCATTTTGAATGTTAATGATAGAGATGGTTTCTTTCCATACCTGAATCACGTGGTCATCGCTTGTTATTTCTATGGCTTCATGACAGTGATCTAATGCTGTAAACACTGAATTACAGGCCCTGAAAGTTATAAAAGATTGAAGTTAGTTCTTCTATGAAAACCATTCACATTTCATCTGTTAATTTAACAAAGTAAACAGATACCAGGTTCATCAAATCTACGTACTTTTTGTTACTGCCATGGTCTGACTGCTGATGTCTCCCAAAATTTCATATGTTGGAATCTAACATCCGATGTGATTGTATGAAGATGCAGAGCCTTTGGGAAGTGGCTAAGTCTGTGGGGCTTCGTCCTCATGAATGGGATTAGTGCCTTTATTAAAGAGGCTCCAGTGGGCTCCCTTGCACTTTCTGTCATGTGAGGGCATAGAGAGGGTCCTCTCTATGAGGAACGGGCCCTCACTAGACACAGAACCCGCTGGCACCTTGATCTTGGACTTCTCAACCTCCAGAAATGTGAGCAATACATTTCTGTTGCTTATTAATTACTCAGTTTAAGGTACGGTAATGCAACTCATAACGATGTTTCAACAATGGACTCAATATACAATGGTGGTCCTGTGAGATTATAATTCTAATTCCTATTGCCTAGTGGTGGTGTAGCAGACAGAACATCCTCACGTATCTGTAATGATGTTGGTGTAAACAAGCTCACTGCACTATCAGCTGTATAAACATACAGCAATACAGTAATGATGTGCAGTACATAATGTTTGATAAGAGATGATTAGGATACTGGTTTATGTATTTACTATACTATTCATCATTGTTTTAGATAAAATACTCCTACTACTAAGAAAAGTTAACTGTAAAGCAGCCTCAGGCAGGTCCTTCAGGAGGTATCACAGAAGATGGCATTGTTATCATAGAAGGTGTCACAGAAGATGGCACTGTTACCATAGAAGGTGACAGCTCCATGTGTGTTATTGCCCCTGAAGACCTTCCAGTGAGACAAGATGTGGAGGGGGAAGTCAGTGATACTGATGATCCTGACCCTGTGTAGGCACTGGCCAAAGTTGTCTTATTTTTAACAAAAAAGTTTAAAAAGTTAAAAAAAAAAGATTTAAAAATAGAAAAAAGCTGACAGAATAATGTCATAAAGAAACAAATTTTTTGTACAGCTGTGAAATGTATTTGTGTTTTACGCTAAATGTTCTTAAGAGTGAAAAAGTTTAAAAATATAAAGGTTTATAAAGTTAAAAAGTAGCAGTAAGCTAAGGCAAATTTACTATTGAAGAAAGGAAAATGTTTTAATGAATTTGTGTAGCCTAAGAGTATAAAGCTGATAAAGTCTACAGTCATATATACATAATGCCCGGGGCCTTCGCCTTCCCTCTCCATTCACTCCCCAGCTCACCCAGAGCAACTCCCAATCCTGCAAGCTCCATTCATGCTAAGTGCCTTATACGAGTGCACCATTTTAAATCTTTCTATGCTGCATTTTTACTGTGCCTTTCTATGTTTAAATTCACAAATACCACTGTGTTAAAACTGTCTACAGTATTCAGTACAGTAACATGCTCCACAGGTTTGTAACCTAGGAGCAACAGGCTAGACCATGTAGCCTAGATGTGTAGTAAGCTATACCATCTGGGTTTGTGTAAGTGCACTCTACAATGTTCGCACAATGACAAAATCGTCCAGCGACACATTTCTCAGAACATACCCCTATCGTTAAATGATGCATGCGTGTATTTCATTATTGCAATCCTAACAGACTAAGAGGGTTAACAATATGCTTTGAGGGGGAAAAAAGTCATCTTTCAAACTAAATGCATAAACAATATTTGGAATCAGACTCTCATTTTCTTTGTTACAGTTTTAACCAATTTCCTAATCTAGAGCAACTCCAAATACAGTAAGCTATTTACTGTCCAACACAGCAAGCATGTAGCTAGAGCTCTGTTATTTATACTGACTGTTTAAAGAATCCCAACAAAAAGCTTTCTTACACATCGCAAAAAGAAAAAAAAAACTGTTGATTTACTGGATTGATGTTTTTTCTTTAAAAGAAACACTCTGAAAAATGTTATTTTTTCCACTCATAAAGGCCTTCTAACTTTGTCATCCTATTTTGATCTGTTTAGAAGGAAGAAGGCAGAAAGAACTGGGTGAAATCTGGCTCTGTATTTTTCCAATTATGCGACCTGAGGCAACTTTTTGTCTTCAGTGGCCCTCAGTTTCCTCATCCATAAAATGAGGATAATAATATGTATTTCACAGGTTTTTGTAAAGATCAAAACAGATAGTTTATGTGAGGCATTTCTCGAAGTGCTTGGGACAATATGAGCATCCAACACACGATAGCTGTTGTTATGTTTCAGATCACAGAGCAATACTTCTTTGTTCTTTAAGGCTTTCAAAAGGCTTTGGTTAAAAAAATGAATCATAGCCTATCTTTTCTCGTAAGTATACCTGAAATGTCAAACCAAGAACAGTATTCAATAATCGTGAGGTATGCGTACAGAGTGCAGTATTTCAGCCAACTGCAGGACGCCAATCCTATGGTTGCAGAAATGAAGATATCAGTGTGAGAGGGTAAGTAAAACAAGTAATCATGATACAGGTTAGCAGAGCAGAGGAGAATATCAACCTAACTCAACTGAAAAGGCTTACAGGTACAGTAGTATATTTTCTTAGTTAAATTGCTCCAGTCTACCCAATTTGAACTGTATACTGTCTTAGTACCACCACTTGTAAATATGATAATTTAAAATAAGAAAAAAGAATAAAAGGGGGCTTTAAAACTGCTACCAAATTTGTCACTGCACTGCCTCATAAGAGACAAGCAAGAGCTAGTCTTATCAACAGTGTTTTCCAGGCACCTGGTCCAAAACTTGACAAAGCACCGTAGGGATTTCCTGGGCAACAGCTGTCTTTCAGAAGTCACTTGTGGAGAAACACACTCTATGTGGACTAATTTGTTAACTTTGAGAGCTGGATAATTAAGCTTTAATTAACACATTTTATCAAATGACAAATTCCTCTCTTGCTTAAGTATTTTCTCTAACTATGTAAACAGGTTTCAACTAAATATATAAACAGGTACTTCAGACTATTATCATTTTCATAATTCAAGAGGTTGCCTTTATACATGATCTTAGATCCAATCTCCAAAATTTATTAAACATTCATTGTATGATTATCCACAAAGCATGAAATTTTCAGTAAGTATAAAGCCCCATAAGACAAAGTAAATGCTTATCAACAGTTGAAATGAAAGGATATTGGTAGAAAGAGCACACTATTTCCCATCCCCACCCCCTACGACAAACATGACCAGACTGTAATGTTTATTCAGGCTCTCAACCTCTTTGGTTGATGGTTCTATTTAAATAAACCTGCAGCAAAATGAGATAATCAATTTGAGTCATGTTTCTAGAGTTTTAGAACTTAATTGCTTGTATTAATTATTCATACTCTTCTGGCAGAAGAACCTTAGCTTTATTAATATCTGTTCTTGGGAACCATACAATTCTTTTGTCTCAGGTATCTTTATGTTTTATTCTTCAGGTTAAAAAGTTGGAAAACTAGAAAAAGGAAACACAAGGGAAAAGTAACCTAGGTGTGGAAACCCATGAAGTACAGGTAATGTCACCATTTTCCCCACACCTTCTTAAGAGCCCTTTGAAGGTCCAGAGAGAAAAGGTAAATATTACAGAGGTCCAGGTATAAAGTCTATAAATAATGTAGTACTATGCTGAGTGGAAAGTGCACCAGACTGAAAAAGCAGGATGCCTGGATTCTACTCCACCACAGTCACCAACATGCTGAATAGCTGTGAAGGTTCTCAGTGTTTTCCTCTGTCACTCGGGGTGTTGGGTTACATTATCTCCTGTGTCTCTTCCAAAATTTGCTCTATCTAGACTCCACCAACACACACACACACACACACACGCGCGCACACACACACACACACACACACTCTGAGGCTGCCTGGAACAAGGGTAGGACTGGGCAAGGTGGTGGCTTGTAGGGAAAAGATTCTGAACACAAGTCCACATCCCAGTAGGAGTCTGGGATGAGTTGGGAGCAGGGAGTGGAAGAGGTAAGAGGATCATGACTTAGCTACTTGTTAGCACTCATTACTGGGCAATAAAGCAATAGCGACTGGTTATTTTAAGCCTTCACAGCTCAGTTTCCACCCCTGTAACACAATAGCTATCACGCAGAGCTCATATGAGAATAGAGTGCTCTATAAATGTCTGTTAATACTGAGAGATGTGGTGTTCCACAGAATACAGAGTTTTGTCCATCAAAAATTTTGATTCTTCCTAAAACTGAGGATTGCTACTGTCTTAAGATTTGGAGTGAAATAAACATAATGACTTGGATGTAACTTCTAGACTGACTAATGAATCAAACAATAGCTGGTACTGCATTAGTATGTATTGATCAGCCCAAACTCCTGCTAAGTATCTAAATAATTATCTTTATTTTAGATAAAATAGATCTTTTCATGATAAACAGGTGTAGGAACATCAGAAGAGATAGCCATCATTTAATTTAGATTATCCTAGACACTCTCCATTTCATAAATTCTTCTATTCAACAGAGTAATTAATCAAAGGCATACAGATACGTGATTTAGTTCTCATACCTTTAAAAGTTATTTTATATAATAGAATCTTAAAATGAGACTACATTTTCTATTTGATCACATCAGGTGATCCTTTTTGTTTCTTGGTTAAGTAAATATGGTCACTAGACACGGGACCCGGACAGAGGTGTCTACCTTCAACATTCACCATCATCCTGCAGTACAGACTGTCCTTGCAGAATGACAGTAATGCTACATATTTAGCTGCAGCTGGGGGCGGAATTGTAGGGGAAAGTATTATATAATTAGACTATAATTATTCTAGCATTGTATAATAAAGAGCCTCATTTTCCCAGTCTGCAACAAATGATAGAGTTGCTTGCCTGCCTTGGGGTGCAGGTATATGCGCTAGACGTCCCTAAGTGCCCTAAGGAGCTGGGGAGGGGCCGTGGCATGGGCCACTGCCTCCATCTGCTGGGCCTAGATATAGTACACCTGGGAATATGCACATAAAATCACGCACATGTTCACACACACACCCAAAAGGGCGATAACTTGAATAAGGTTGAGGCAGAACCCACCAAAAAGCAACAGCTGAAGCTTGTGCAGAAGGCAAGATAATCCATGTGCCAGGCAAACCTTCTTTCCTGGGGCCACTACCTTCCTGGGTCAGCTCCATTCACCAATTTCACACTGATTTGTATTAAGAACTTGAGCCTTTTCATTATGACCTCAACAATGGGTCCAATGCCCCCAACGAGTTCTAGTAAGTGAAGGGTCAGAAGTATAGTACTTACATAATGGTAGGTACTTAGAAACTTGCAAAGTTCTGAATCTGATAAGATCTTAAAAAGTCTTTGGTGCCCTGGCTCTAAACAGATTTCATCAGTACAATAACCTGAAGGCTTTTCTTTATGCTCTTGTTGGCTGGGGATATTTACTTCAAATTTCCAGGCCTGCTTTTGCCCTGTTCATCATGGACAAGGTGCCCCTAACATTCCTGGGACAGCCCTCCAGTGCCCCATGTGCACTGCAGAATCTGTATTAGGGCATCTCCTGGCAACTCACATATGCCATCACATGTAATGTTGCCTAAAAAAACAGAAACTTATTTAAAATCAAATAATGGAATTGCCTATCAAAGCAATGAAGTGTTGCGCTGTTCATTTTTTATTGTGGGTAATACACAGCTGAAGTATTAAACCACAATAAAACCCCCCTCTTTCTAATTATATTTATTGTGTAAACATCTAAAATAAAAGTGCTGAGTCTTTTAACCTTCAATTAAAAACACTAGAGATCACCAGGAATAATAACAATTAATCTACATTATTAAAAGGCATAACTTATGGAGTAAAGGCAACGTGGGTTTCTAGAAAAATTCTATGAAGTGCTCTGAAGCTAACATATACATAAAAATAAACCAAGGGATCTAGTTTACTTATACGTTCAAAAGTCTTTGGCAATATTTCTTACCAAGGGCTGTTAAAAAATACCTGAATTCCCAAAATATCTGATTTCCCACTGGTTTGAGATTCTTTTTTTAATACTTTTCTATCTAAGGAAGTGACCGTTTACCTCACACTTTATTTCTTAGAGCACTCTACCCACCAAAAAGTGACTCCCCTAACCAGGGTGCACCCCAGGGGAAACTGCTTCTCTAGGTTTATGTCAATCCATTTTGCCTCCCTGGGACAGAGGATAATTAAGTTTGAAAAGGGTTTTGTCATCTTTGAATGACAATAAGTAATCAAGATAAGGTATATAATCACTATAATAGGATGCTCTCCTACTTATTTTGTATTGAGCCGCAAACTATCCATGACTTCTCAGTCAGCCAGAGAGAGAAGCCATGCTACAGACTTTTCTGGCATCCCACAGCCTGAATTTCCTGGGGACTGGGCCCCGCAGTGGCCCATGGGTGGAGAGGAGCCTTCTCCTTTCCCTGCTCCCTGACTGAGAAGGGAGGAAAACATCAGGGTCCAAAAAGCCTGCCAGAGTGGAGCCAGGAGCTAGGACCCTGATATTCCTCAGAGGGTCCAGGAGCAGAACATCCCCCAGCCCAGCATTCTGGCCAGCAGCCAGACACCCAGAGAATCCCATCCCTGGAACTGAGCACCAGTGACAAGCCAGATCTTAAAACACTAGATGCTTGTAAAGAGACTTAAAACTGGTTTCTTAAAGCTACTTCATGCATATTGAGGCCACAAACAGACTTAATAAAATTGCTATTGTGGGTACTTAGCAATTATTATGGTTAGCATGATAAATATCGCCATTAGTTTACCCCTATGCGTAACAATCCAAGTAAAAATTTATAAATATTGAAAGTAGGATGTAGAAAATAATCCTCAAGGCTATTCCCAATCTCCATCTAATTGTGCAAAAATTAAACATTTTCCCAGGTTACAATTTTAAAATTCTGTAAATAGTGGAAAATACTGTCAAAAGAAGAAATGTTTCCAATTTATTTCTTTATATAACAGGCCTTCTGGCTAAGATACTGCTGTTGGCCAGCTGCCATTCATTGCCTGTTTAAAAGCTTCAAAATCCCTGGGATTCAGCTATGAACCCATGAACATCAGCCTGTTGACAGATAAGATTTTCTAAAGAATTGTTAACCTCGTGTTACTGTCTCATTTTGCTACATACCGTAGTTTGAACTGGGAGCGAACTTCCCCATGTTCTATTTGAATCAGTTCATTATAGCAAGCAATTATGCTGCTATTCTCCATAAATCTCTGAAAAGAAAGCAAAGACAATACATAAGACATATATAGTTACTTCTTTGAGAGCCAAACAGAGAAACTTAACAGTTGTTCCTACCCCCAGGTAACTCCGTTATATAAGACAATTAGTAAGTAAGATGAGATGAAATAGTTGTCAAGGTGTTCAAAGTGCTTGTTTAAATGTATGAGAAACAACAGAGCAAGTAATACTGTACACTTCACTTCCTTCATAACAAAGGTAGAATAAACTACATTATGAACACTCTAGGGCACAGAATGCCTGCCCAGCCATGTAAATTACTGAAACATTTTGCTTCATATTGCACTAATAGAATCATCTAAAACCCAACACTTAGCATGTTCAGTGTGCAGCACATTATCAATGATCTCTTTGGAAGGGAGAGTCTACTCTTTACTTCCTTCCTAATTTTCTGAGTGCCTAATGCAGGGGAAAAGTTAAACACAGAATTCTCATATGATCCAGTAATTCCACTTCCAGGTATATACTCAAAAGAACCGAAAACAAGTACTCAAATAAATACTTGCACATGTGTGTTCATAGCAGCATTATTCACCATAGCCAAAAGGCAGAAACAGCCCAAATGTTCAACATTTGAACAGATAAACAAATTGTGGTGTATACATACAATGGATTATTACTTGACCATAAAATGGGAATAAAATACTGATACATGCAACAACATGTATGAACCTGAAAAAAGTATTAAGTGAAAGAATCCAGACAGAAAAATTCACATATGGTATGATTCCATGTGTATGAAATATCGAGAATAGGTCAATTGATTGAGTCAGAATGCAGACTGGTGGTTGCCAGGGCTGTGGGGAGGAGGAATAGGAGTGACTGCTTAATGGGAACACATTTGGGGATGATGAAAATGGCTTTTTTTGTTTGTTTTGCAACAGGGTCTCTAGACAGAGGTGGTGATTGTACAATACTGTGTATGTGTTAAATGCCACTGAATTGTTCACTTTAAAATGGCTAATTTTAGTTTCATCTCAATTGAAAAAAAAGCTTTCATGTATTTATAAATAAACGTTGTGAATGAATGAACAGATAGATAAGCAAATAATAATGCAAAAGAAAATGCAGCACACATTGTCCTTCATCAAAGAACCACGAAGCACCCATTTATGCTAGGTATGAGCTGCTCAAATCCCACGTTGAAAGAGGAGTAGGCCCTTTTTCACTGAATCCCAAAGCAATTTGGTTTACATTTCTCATATATGCTACATGATTCAGTGCAGGGTATATAGGAAACTGAGCACTTCTCTGACATGATCACGTCAATACTTAATGAGAAATAATGAAATCAGAAAAAAAAAAAAAGGCAAGTAAAAAATAGTAAGGGAAGAGATTTAAGGACAATTCTACTTAGGAAAGGGGAAATGTTTTGCATTTTAATTGATTAAAAAAAACACATCGTGCAAGCCTTTCCAAGCATATGGCTGGCAAACTAAGTAGAAAGATAAGCAGAATTCCAAAGTATTCCAAACTACCAGTCACATTCTTTTGCTTCTCAGGTAGCTATATAGGTGGAGAAGGAGAATACTAGATCCTGCTGAAAGATGTGTTTCTTAGATTTCCTTCACCCAAGTTGGCCAGAGAAAAAAATCAATCCCTCTCCTCACTCCTTCCTTTCTCTCTCTCCTCTCTCTCCCTCTCCTCCCCCCCCACCCCCGCTCTCCCTCTCTCTCTCACACACACACCCCAATATACACTGAAGTGGATGGCTCCACATATCTGGAGTGGTTGGCCTCTCTCTGGCTTTCCCTGGGCCTCTGGTCCTCCACTATTCTTACGTGGAAACTGGGAAGGGCTAAGGAAAGACAGGAAGCCATAAACATACACAGAAGGGAAACACTTTCTCTTTGATTTACAGAGCAAAGTTAAACATGGTTAGATTCCATTTGAGCTTTTAGATGGATAAAAGCTATATATCAGCCTATAACAGAACTCAGGGGGTTGTTAGCTGATGTTTTGTAAAAACATGAAAAAACCATGATAACACACGTTTGAAAATGCTGGCATAACATAGAAAGATATGTATGTATATCATGACACTGTTTTGTAAATAATACACAGTCATTTCTATTTCTGCCTAGGAATAAATCTGAAAGGCTAGTGGCATAAATAATTTTAATTTTTAGCTTATCTGTATTCTCTATAACAAACATGGATTCGTTTTTGCAAAAAATGGAAAGAAAATGTTGGGATACACAAAGTTAGCAGGTTTGTTTACTACAGGATATCTCAGAGCATTTAAAATGCTAACGTGCAATGTTGCAAAAGTGCTCTGTGAATTCTCAGGTGTGGGAGGAGGGGCAACTGAGTTTTCACTGATTCCCTAAACTTATTTGACCATAGAAGCCTTTTTTCACGGACCACCTATTAATAGCTTTTGGTACAGTAGTGTTCTGTGGAGCACTAGCTTGGGAAATCTCACTTTAATGGACCCAATATAGAGTTTGGAGTTAAACAACACGCATTTGCTTCTGGACTTTGTCATGAATGTGAGCTCTGGCAAGTTTAGTTGTTTTGAGCCTGTTTCCTCCTCTGCAAAAATGGAGAAAATATCAAATCCCTCATATGTACAGGAGGATTAAGTAAATCACTGGGAACTGGGCCTGACAATAAATCGTAGCTCCCCACTTCCTACTCCACAGAAGGCCTCTCCACAGAGAACCGTGTCCCTACAGTTGTGCCCCCGGCATGCCTAGCACATTGCACAGAGGCAGAACTCCATAAACACTTATTAAACTGAACAAACATTTTCGCAAATAGAAAAAGAGGCACATAAAGTTGACATAAAAACAGCCGCAACCGTCCTTTGCTAAGATGCTGGTTTCTAAAAGGCTCAGCGTGGACTGGGCATCTATATAGTTGACTGCTTACACACAGCTCCAGAGCCTTCAAGAGGAGTCGTTGTGGGACATGTGATGGCACAATTTGTTCCTAGATCCCCACTCAGGGACCGCAGACTGAAGCACCAGCCAATTAGCTAGCAACCCGGGGGTGAGTTAAAGCAGATGACCTAATACAATCAAAACAGCTTGGCGATGGGAAACAACCTCACGGAAGGCAAGGATTAACTGGCATATTTGAAAAGGTGCTTGGGCAGAGAGTTGTGAAAGACAGGATTTTACCCAAAAAAGGAGAACCGCCACCTGAAGATCAGTCTCAGCTGATGCTGTGCCATAGTAACGCCAGGAGAGCTGTTGGAGGTGCAGCGCGCTTCTCCTGGAATGAGCCCGAGCTACTGGGGGCACCCTGACCTCACCAGCAAATGGCCTCTAGCAGGGTCAGCACTGAAGAATACCAGGTGGTCTCTGACAGCTACTGCCACTAATGCCCCTTTGCCAAAGGCTTATTCACTGAGGCTGACTGCAAAACACAGTAACACGTCTGGATAGTGGGAAGTGAAGCCTTCCAGAGCACTATGGACAGGTTATAAAATGTGTAAGAAGGAAACAATGGAACCTTGGTTAAATGTTCTTAATAGCATTTGCACCCAAAGAGCACCAGTTATTTCTCCTAACTGTGACCAGATGTGCAACCTCAGCCTTTCAGACAAGATGCCATCGCTTCAAATGGCAGCAATTCTAAACCAGTTTGAGGTAGCATCACTGAACGAAAGGTAGAATCCCAAAAGGACACTCAACAGCACGTACATGGGTCCCTAATCGATAAAACTCACAGTGTGTCATTGCCATTCTCCAATCATCCCCCAGGAAATGAGGAAAATCTACGTCCTCACACTCCATGAGGTCCCAACTCAAACTTGAAAAGGACAACACTGGAATGGGGTGAAGTCAGGGGGTCAATATTTCACAGAAGTTCTATGAAGCCTGTGAATAATTTTAGAGCTATTTCTTAGAAAATGAGTAAAGAAAATCTGTCTCAACCACATGGCTTCTTTGCTGAGTTTTCTTTTGCAACTCTTCATTCCAAAACTCAGAAGCATTGTCTCATGCATTCTCATTAAGATATAGCACCTAAGAATAGCTTTCAGAACCAAACGCCAACCTTTGCGAGAAGAGATAACAGACAAGAGGAAAAAGTGTTAGGAGCGTGAAAAATATTGCTAGCTGGAAACATTCATTTCGATCACACATCGTGAGCCACTAGACTACCTTGAATCTTCTCTACAGCACTGTGACTTCCACACTGAAGCATACCAAAGCACAAAACAACTGCATCACAAAGGTAGTTTTTGCTTCTCTGTGGTCTACAACTAAGAGCAATATATATATTTTTAAGCCCGGAGTAGCAAAGTACCATTACTTAAAGCACACAGAGGATTTTCATAATTCACAAGGCACAGGCAGTACCCTATTTTTTAAAGAATATATCACTCCATCTACTTGGGATTCAGATTACTTTTTTTTTTTTTTTTTTTTTTTTGAGACGGAGTTTCGCTGTTGTTGCCCAGGCTGGAGTGCAATGGCGCCATCTCGGCTCACCGCAACCTCCACCTCCCGGGTTCAAGCGATTCTCCTGCCTCAGCCTCCCGAATAGCTGGGATTATAGGCATGCGCCACCACGCCAGGCTAATTTTGTATTTTTAGTGGAGATGGGGTTTCTCCACATTAGTCAGGCTGGTCTCGAACTCCCGACCTCAGGTGATCTGCCTGCCTTGGTCTCCCAAAGTGCTGGGATTACAGGCATGAGCCACTGTGCCCGGCTGGGATTCAGATTACTCTTACCAAAAGATTTTGAGATATTGGGTATGCCTAATCACTTAGTTTGTTGGTAAGTCTCTTTGGAGTAACCAATCTCAATCTTCAAGTTGAATATCAGTGTTGTTCATGATGCTTATAGTTTAAGCCAGGAGGTCACAGGATGCTATAGGATTACTTGTGTTTAGATGATCAGCAAAAGCTGTATAAGTAAACCATGGTCTTCTATCCTATTATTCTCCTAAGGGAAGCCTTTTATTCTTTACATAGGAGTAATATATATATTTGTTATTTTAAAAAATTAAAATATGAAGTAAAGTCTTCCACAATTTCTCTATAAGGACTTGTTTTCTTTTAATATTAGGGAATATAGTTCCTTCAAACATTCATGTTTTGATGATCTTTTTCCTCCTCCCTTTCTTCCCTTTCTTCTAAGTCCATTCCATCAGTTCCTTTCCATTTGCATGCACACAGCCTTGCCTCCAATCTAACTTCTACCCTGAGATGCTGGGTGAGCTTGGTTATTTAGTTCGTTAGTGAGTTTCCTTGGAGAAATTCTTAATCTTCAAGTGGAATCTCAGTGTTATTTGTGTAGTTTGTCACTCAAAGAATTTTTCTTTGCTGATGTTAATGGTTTCAACCAGGAGTTCACAGGGTGCTACAGTCATCATGGGCCTGTCCCTAGGGTATAAGCTCTGGCCAGCCCTTATGAACAGAGTCTTGGGTGCCAATTTGGTGGATGTATCTATATATAATCACACACACACTGAATCGAATTGACTGTACTGATTTAAATAAGATTACTTTGGGATGACAGAATTTTAATCTGATATAATAAGATGGGTTTTTATGTCATTGTATATCTATTGCTAAGATATATGGAGAAAACCCAGAGAGCAAAAAAGGCAAAGAGCTCGACTGGCAGCTGCTCGTTACTCTCCCATGAGAACACAGTCTCTTCCTTTCCCCAACAGTCCTGGGGCTTCATTTTCTTAACAGTTCTCCGTGGCGGCTTTGCCTTCCTGTTATGGGAGAGTCAGGGGTTAAGGTACCCGCACCTGAGAGAGATGCTGGACATCTCGTACATACCCTGTTGAAGCCTGCATGGAGAAGAGGAAGGACTGACGCCTCTTCATGGTCATCCGATCTGCAGCAAAGCAGAAAATGTGGTCACTCAGCAGATACAAACCAGGATTCCTCACACTGAAACATGGAGAGAGAGCAATGAGGCCACACAGCGTTAGCTCCAAGAGTGGCTTCCTGACGAGCACGTGCCCACGGGGCACACCTGCCTTCAAGGATACAGACCCCACATCTACCTTTCAGATGCAAAAAGAACAAAAACAGTAGAGAAATCTCCAGCGGCGTACCTGGAGGTATCACCCTCAGTATACATGAGTGGCCCTTTCCAATTCAGCTGCCCTTTGGAGTTGAGCTATATGTATGGGAGCAGTCCCATAAAGGGACATGTTAGGTGCACTGTTCATTCTGAGACCATTGTCCCCAAACCATCTGGAAGTATGACTCCCACACCAAAACCGAGCTGGGTCCAACTCTCAACATGAGGAAGACAGTCAGCAGTCCAGGCTGTAGGACCCCCAAGCCAAACGGGAGAGAAGTATCAGCAGGAATACACAGTTAGAAGGGAAGGAGAGAAAACAAAAATGGATAATTGCCACTCATTTCACAAGAGGGTTTGCTATAGTGAGCCTACCGCTGAGTCTCAGGACTTCAGTTTGAGTATAAGGTGGGATATGGATTGCCTTGTCATGAAGACATGCCATCGCTGGGCTCCCTATCACCAAAATAGAGAAACAGGGTCTGAGACAGTCAGCAAGTAACATGGGGGACATACCCTAAGAACCAGGGAAGAAAAATGGAATAAAAGGGATTGGGTGGAAACGCAGATAGCAAACAGGAACAGAAGTCCCAGTGCTGACTTGTGGCATTACCCATAGTTGATTCCTGCCCTAAGGGAAAAGCTATTTTACCCACTTTGTTTTTCTTCTGGAACTCCAAGTTCTATCATCTCTGACTGTTAAGAAGGCCACAAAACGGTTCCAAGGGTATTAATAATGTTTTATTTCTTAAGCTGGTGACATAGACACACACATTCATTTTATTACCACTCTCTCTATATGAAATATTTTACAATAAAACCAGGAAAAGTCGGTGACAATCATAACAAATAAGCCACAGTCCACCATTATTTTGTCAAGGACTAGCAAACCTTTTTGCCATATGAGTTGGAAAAACAAGAGTGTTTTGTTCTTGGACCCGTGTAATAAGCCAGGCTCGGGAAAAATGCTGTGTGGCCTTGAACATTTCTGGTATTGATGTCCAAGCCTCTATAACCTCATTCAAACCTCTGAGTGTCCAGAAGATAAATGTGAAAAGGAGGGTTGAAGGAGGCTCATCTTATGTCTCAGTTCCCCTCATTCATTCCCTGTGGAATCTTAATCTCCCACCAGGATGGAGCGGTGTAACGAACCAGTGAGGACAATGTCTTTACTTTCTCTGGACCACATCCCGTGGTGGGTATCAAACAAAGTGAGAAGACAGAGCTCCTAAGAAGACACTCAAGGAGTAGCAGGTAAGTAGGAGTCTTCAGTAAGGGTATGACTTTGAAGCCATGATTTCCTGCTGTATTCACATGGCTTTGGAATGAGGCATTTCAAGTCCCCTGGGCCAGACTTTCCTGGCCTTTGTCACAGAATTTGTGCCAAATGCCATAATGAGGCCAAGTCCAACAGGTCCTAGGCCCTAATGAAGTTCTTATTCTCTCCGAAGCTAAATACAGCCATTAAAAGACTACAATAGGCTGGGCGTGGTGGCTCACACCTGTAATCCCAGCACTTTGGGAGGCCAAGGCCAGCAGATCACGAGGTCAGGGGATCGAGACCATCCTGGCTAACATGGTGAAACCCCATCTCTACTAAAAATACAAAAAATTAGCCGGGCGTGGTGACGGGCACCTGTAGTCCCAGCTACTCGGGAGGCTGAGGCAGGAGAATGGTGTGAACCCGGGAGGCGGAGCTTGCAGTGAGCCGAGATCGCACTGCTGCACTCCAGCCTGGGCGACAGAGTGAGACTCCGTCTCAAAAAAAAAAAAAAAAAAAAAAGATTACAACAAATTTTGTTACCTGCCAACATTCCCACCACTGTAGTTTGTACAGACAACTTTTCTTCCTGCTGGCTCTTTTACTTTAAGTGCTGGCCACATCAGACGATAAACCCAGCAGAGCAGTCGCTCATCCTACAGTTTCATTGTACCTACGGCACAATCCCTTTTCTTTGCCGCCCAGCATTGGATAAACTCTACTGTCCTGCCTCTAGCCACGTAACGGTCCCAGCATCAACTTTACAACCCTTGTCTTGTGGATTTAGTGCCCTTTTATTCTCATGCTTGAACATGAAAAAAAAAAAAATGTGTTTCTTCTTAAATGAAAAACAAGCATATCCCCATCTCTTTTCTGCAAAGAAAAAAAGATAAACTGGAACAATGTTTTCTCCAGACCACCTCCTCCTCAAATTTTCCATTCATTTCTGGCATATAATGAGTAAACTTTCTCCCTGAGGTGTATGACTATGTGCTAAAGGCAATTACATAAGATACAGAGAAAAACCTAAATATTTCCAGGAACTTGTGAAACAAACAAAACCCCCAAAGCAAGATCAAGATCTAAGGCTGGTGTTCTAGGACCCAAGACGCGCCCATTGCTTAGACAGCTCAAAAACCAGATTACATCTGACAGACATTTCAGAATGAACAGTACTCCTTCCAGCTGGGAATGAGAGGTGCACTTACACTTGTGAAACCACTGCAAGGATCACCGTGTGCTCGGAGGGATTTGTGGCCCGGATCGACCTGCAATGAGAAGCCTCCAAGTCAAACAAGGTGATCTGGACTTTGTTACATTAAATGAATGCGGAACTTCTTCACATTGAAAATGACACAACATCAAATCTTTCTCTAAAGAAAACGTCTCAAACCACACAGAAGACAACAAAGAAAGATGCCCTTGTGGATTAGGACAATCTCTTCATTTCGTTACAAAATTTTTTTCTCTTAACTCCCAGGCAATTATCCAATAGGTCAGACCTGCCAATTTTCCACTTAAAAAAATTGGCAAATTCCACTTAAATTCCATTTTTTAAAATTGAAACTCCACTCTTCAAAATAAAAATAAATTGGCAGTCCTACAATCCTCTTCTTATCAGTATGTACCTGGGGGAGCCAATTGGGTTTAATCTTTTTTCTTTTAAAATAGCAGATAGTTCAGAAAGTTGACCTTATGATAAAAATTGAAACACTCGCTGGCAGTGGGATGTACAAATGCCGGTTAAAGCCAATTAAAGATGGTACAAAGAGCCACCTCAATTTTTCAGTCCTACTGTAGTTTTTGCTTAAATCCTTTAAACAACTTGATCATCAGCTGGAGCTGAGAAATGTTGCAATATGGTACCTGTCACTGTATAATGTTTTTTGTACTGGGACCACCTGGATATAGTTTATTCCCTAGGAATTAAACAGGGCCAAAATAATCAGGACGTAGAATTTTGAGGTCCATGAATCTTCTTTGCTGTGCCATGCTACAGCCCAGATTCTCCACTGTTCTGGTCAGGGGGTTGTAAATTGGACAAACTTTTAATAAAGGCCCACACACTTGAATCTCGGTGCGAATCAGCATGCTTGCTTTGACCTATTCTCTTGGTCTGGCCTCTGCTTATGCTGAGATATCTTGGAAGGGAACCATCAACTCCAAGAACAGAATTACTCCTGAGTAATTTGTGAAACAACATGCATTTGTTTTTCTCTCTGGCTGTGGGCATTTCTGCTCCCCTCTACTTTAATGTGTTTGAACTACCACTCCCCAAGGGACAGCCGGCTCGTATTGCTTCGTCCTCTTCAACTCCAACATTTTCTGACCTTTCTCAAAAAATGCACCTTCTCCATGTCCTGTTCCTCGAGCCCTCACACTATGTGGGAGGAAGGCTACAGGAAATGATCGGCTGCCATATTCCCGGGAAGTGAAGTTTCCTCTGTGGATAAATGGTATTTTAAAGAGATCTTTTGAAGAAAATGCTGTTAACTCACAATGGGGCAGGAGGCATAAGTCAATATCTCTCCAATGCCAGCACAGGCTACTTCCCACTCAGCCACCCTGTAGGGCAGGTCCTGCTAAGGTGAAGCTACACTTATTTTATACTCAAGAGCCTACTGGATGGATACTCAGTGGAAATACCAGTTAGCACCTAATGAAAAAATACATAGTGTTTTAGAGGCATGTTCCAATCTCTAGGGAAACACTAAGTACTTCTCACCTTCATTCAATCTTTCTCACCCCAGTAGGTGTCATGGGCACACTGCTGGGCTATATCTTAAGGTGTGGGTTTTAGGCAAGAGGCCAAAACATGTAATAAGCATAACTGGGCTGGAGCACACACGCTCTTGGTTTCTTTTGGGACTAGCTTCCATCTTTTGGGTTGCTTCCTGCTGCTTGTCTCTTTTCTGTCATCTCTCCAAAGGAACTGGTATGGTAAGAGAGACCTAGGCCTCTTCCTGGATGAGAGGACTAAGGGGAAGGTGGGGCTGAGGCTCAAGGACGCATGTTAGGCTAAGGTCCAATCCTAGCTCAAAGGTGAGGGATCTAGCACCACAGATGACAACAAAGAATGCACATCTGCCAGGAGCATGTCACCTACCCATCCCCTTAGGGAATGTGTCTTGGGAGTCAAGCATTTGGAATCTGGCCCCCCTCAACATGACCAATAATGGTCGGGAAACACACTGCCAGATACGTCCATCTGACTTCTAAACTGTATAGACCTCTATTGGTTTTCTGAGCAGCTAACACAGAAATACATTTGGTAGGAAATAAAACTCTATTTCTTTATAGTCAAAGAAAAATGTAAAGTTTATCTGGTAAACTGGGCCTTTGCCTGAATTAAAAGATTTCTTCCTGTTGATTTTTTCTTTATAAGTAAAGCTTCTCTTAAGTAATTGTATGTAGGAACAAAGAGGTGTGATATTTCTACTATAAAACTACTTAAGAAAAGTAAGTGAAGGCCAAGAAAAATCAGAAATACTTAGTTTTACAAGACCCAATTCTACTATAAAATCATCAAAAATATTTCCTAATACTAAAAATAGCATCCAGATATTTTATGATATACTCTATGTATATTTATATACACTATTAAATAGAAAAACATTTTTATGCAGAAAGATGAGATTATTTGAAGCCATTAAAATATTTCTAAAACAGACGCTTAAGAAAAATTCTTCTTTGGGAAACTGAAATTATCCAAGAATAGCAAGATGATGTCTGTGATAAGAAACTTCTCTTAATCCACGAATTTCTTCTCAGGGTACCAAGGTTCTAAAAAGCTGTTTTCCCACCTTTTATTTCACTTACTAACATTTAAGAAAATTCCAGCTCCCCATGCATTTGGACTCTGTCTTGGTCTAGCATTTAATTAGTGACCTCTTCCATCTAGCTTCAAAGCATTCCACTTCTGCTAAATGAATCAGTTCATCCAGAGCTAACTCTTATGACTGAGCATTTATTTATGAACAGGCCTGTGTTCCCTCCCCAGAGTGCAAGCATTTCTATAAACAAGCAGGGGGTTTGGGTCCCTGGAAGATTTTCTACTGCTGCAAAGTGGTTGCCTTCACTCCATGACTGGGAAGCCTGCTGTGGGATCTACCCATCTGTGTCAGGCAGGAAAAAATTTATATTTCACACATTTCCGATGTTCATTTTGGGAGAGAATAATGAAGATTAAAATAGCTAGTTTAAATCCAAACCGTATCTGTGTAATGAGAACTGTGTGAATTTTAATTTTTTTTATGAGCAATACACAGGGTGGGGGGAATACCCTGAAGTTATCAGGGGAGCCCAGCTCACACCTCTAAATTTAGTACAACTCAAATGTGGAAAAGTAGAAGAGGAGAGAGAAATCTACAGGAAGGAGCTATAGCTTTCACCACAGACATTTGTATACACTGCTTAAAAACATCAACACATATTTTAAAAATATTTGAAATAAATTAAAGATATCTGTAAACGAAATTCATTTTAAGCTGTTAAGCAAACATTTACTCAGCATATTAAATTAGAGAAGGTACCTGCACACCGCTTCTGCATCGAAGTTCTGAGTTTGTCTATGATCAATTACAATAATTTCATGATGCTTATCAAGAAAGCATTCAAGGGCTGACTCTGGAGTCCGAGCAATATTGCATCTATAACCAGCTCTGTCACAGGCCCACCAGAAGCCATCGCTCTGACTATCTTCCTTTGCAAAGATCAGCAAAACCTGAAACACAACAAAAAGAGCATCTTGAAATAAATCATCATCCATAGAGACTATTACAAACAAGCCTATTGGCCGGGTGCAGTGGCTCATGCCTGTAATCCCAGCTCTTTGAGAGGCTGAGGCAGTGGACTACTTAAGCCCAGGTGTTTGAGACCAGTCAGGGCAACATGGCAAAACCCCATCTCTACAAAAAATACAAAAAAATTAGCCAGGCATAGTAGCACATTCCTGTGGTCTCTACGACTCAGGAGGCTGAGATGAAAAGATCGCTTGAGCCTGAGAGGTAGAGGCTGCAGTGAACCATGATTGCACCACTGCACTCCAGCCTGGGCAACAGAGTGAGACCCTGTCTAAAACAAAAGCAAAAACAATCCCCCCAAAACAACCAAAAGACCAGGCCTATGGTGTACTGGTTTACAATGGGGCCTCTGGAGGGAAGCTACCAGGGTTCAAATCCCAGCTCCTCCAGTTGGTTACAGTGGTCTTTGAACAAGGTATTTCACCTCTTTGGCCTATAGTTTCTTGGCTGTAAGAGTGAAAGAACAGTGCCACATAAGTTAGTTCTGAGAACTGAATAAGCACAGAGAAGGTGCCCATTCACTCTGGTGGTGACTGTGACTCACTGCAATTACAAGTATTTCTAATTTCCTAATTAGCTTTGTTTTTAAATAAGAAGTAAAATGATTAATGAGATAGTTAACACAGGTTAGATTATGGTTTACATTTACAATACATATATTTGATGCCAGTTGCAAGTGGTATTTGCCTTTAAGTCTCTGGAGGCCACCTCTTTGAACTTAGCACTAAAATACCTATAGACATAAGGAAGTAAGGGAACTCAAAACAACCTCAAAAATGAATTTTAACATCCAATCTTTGCCAAAGTCTGGAAAGAATGATCATGAAATGTAAAGTTGATGGAGTTAAGTTGAGGGAAATGTGCTTCTACTGATGAACTGCCTCATTGAGAAGCAATTTTGCCCACAGGAAAGAAGGCAGCAACACTTTACACAGTTCCTCCCTCATCATCGCCTGGGTCCAGGAATACAGATTCCCTGCCAGCCAGAAAGACCCAGACTGCCCTACCACCACCTGAGCTCATTTATGTATTTATGGTCTATCTCCCTCACTAGAGGAGTAAGCTTCAGGAGAGTAAAGGCCCGGCCTGGTTTGTTCCCTGCTTGTACTCCCCATGCCCAGCACTATACTGGCACTTCCTAGCTGTTCAGTAAATATTTGAGAAATGAAAAAACAACTACTTGTGGGGTCTTCTGAGAAATGCGAGAGGGCTTTACTATGAATAAGATGTAAGACCACCTCCCAGCAATAGATCTAATAAGAAAAACCTATAATAATCTCAAGATATTGTTAAGGCACTCAATACTCTTCTGCACCCACGTCTGGTTTAAACAATTAGAAACAGAAGGGTAGTTTCTCCACATGAAGAGCTTTTGAGTCAATAGTCAATATATTCATCATGGTGAAATACCAAACGTGGTTCATTTAAAATCAGAAACAAGCCAAACTGTCCAATCATTACATTTGAAAACTACATTTTTTTCCTTTTTTTTTGAGACAGAGTCTTGCTCTTGTCACCAAGGCTAGAGCGCAATGGCACAATCTCAGCTCACTGCAACCTCCGCCTTCCAGGGTCAAGTGATTCTCCTGCCTCAGCCTCCCAAGTAGCTGGGATTACAGGCGCCCACCATCATCACACCCGGCTAATTTTTGTATTTTTTTAGTAGAGACAGGGTTTCGCCATGTTGGCCAGACTGGTCTCGGACTCCTGACCTCATGATCTGCCCACCTCAACATCCCAAAGTGCTGGGATTACAGGCATGCACCACCATGCCCAGCTGAAAAATACTTTTATTAATTGAAAATTGGAAGTATATAGAAAAGCAGAAACAATAATATAATGAAACTCACGTACTCCTTACCCAGCTTCAGCAATAACCAACTCCTAGCCAATGTGGGTTCATCTCTATCCCTACCCATTTTCCTAGCTCTTACAACAGATTGTGGCAAATCCTGCTATTTTATCTCATCCATATGCATCTGTGAAAGATAAAGATTTTTTAAAAAGAACAAAACCACAATATCATTTCATACCTAAACCTCCCCAATAATTCCTTAATATCAATAAATATCTGGATATATTATATATGCCATTTTTTAAGAGCACCCTGGGCTGACTAGGGTCTGTCCCTCTGCAGCCCAGGAAGCTCCTAACATTTCCAGCCACAGAGTTCCTTCCAGGAAGAAATGGGAGGTGGCTCTCCCAAGAAAAATGAAGGACACAACCTCGTGGATTTTGATAACGAAAGCCTTCCTATCAAACTGTTAACAGGGGAACCTGAATGAGAAAAATCAGATAGAATAAACTGGTTGGTGCAAAAAGTCAATAACCTTTCACTTGGTGTAGCTGTGGTATTAACACGAGAAACTCAATACGCCAAACCTAGGAGTCAAAAAAAGGTGAAAAACTTCTTGTCTCTCACCTGTCTGGCTGAATTATGGATTTTTAAACAAGAATCTCAGCAATCTATATTTCCTTGACACCATTATGCCTCAATCTTTGACTAATACAGTAAGAATAACAATTCTCTTGTTGGGCATTTCAACAACTATCACTAATTTTCAGAAACACTGCTTTTAACTGCTTACAGTATGTTGATGAACAAAACAAAGACTCTTTGCATTATAGTGGTAGAGGCACACACAATAAATAGACCATTAAGTAAGTACATTATACAGAATGGTAATAAATGACAGGTGCTACGTGAAACCCAGCAGAGCAGAGTAGGGGGGTCAGCAGTGGGTGCCGGCAGCAGAAGGAAGTAGGCAGTTAGGCTAGGTCCCGCTGAGAAGGGGACGTGTGAGCAAATGCCTGAAGGGAATAGAAAGGCAAGCCCAGTTTACCCTGGAAGGAAAAGCATTCCAGGCAGAGTTCTATAAGCCCCTGGTGTGTTCTAAGGACTGCAAGGGAGCCAGGGTGGTCGAAGGGAGGGTGTGAGGACAAAAGGATGGGAGCAGGTCAAGTTCACGGCAGAGGGCTAGACCATGATAAGGCCTTCTAGGCCATTTGAAGGTCTTACAAAACTGGATTTCACATGGAAACTCACAAAACTGATTGAAGGTGGACAGCTGTATTAATTGTATATTTTTATTTTCTGTGTTTCCGATGCTTTGACTTCTGGCGCTTTGCTGACCCTGGAAGGACTGCCCTTCTCAGGGTTGCTAATTTCTAGAGATAGCACACAATTCTCCTGTGAGCATGCCCTTCATATGCAAATCAACCAATCTAGAGCCCATTCCCCAACCACCACCACCTCTGGTTCTTACCCTCCAGGCCACAATTCCCCAACCCTAATCACCCTAGGGCCAGGTACCAAACAACTAGAACCATCAATATGTCCCAGACCTTTCTGAAATTAATCAGACTAGCTTGGCCTAACCCTGCTCACCCTGCCTCACCCAAGCCTTCCCACGGAAACCACAGTGGAGGCTCTTGCGTGCGATCTCCTCCCACTCCCTCTGCCTCCTGACTGACTGTGGTGCTTCCCAGCGCGGCCCTGGGTGGCACACTGTGCCTCCTGCTCTGGGAACTGTAACTATTTTTCAATGCCAATTGTTCCTAGATCTGTTGGCCTTACCATACCTGAATAATAAGGTCTGTGATACAGACCTTATTATTCACATACCTTATTATTCAGGTATGGTAAGGCCAAAGGATCTTATTATTTAGGTATGGTAAGGCACTCAGGAGAGAATTTCTTTGGCTAATATTTAAATATTTTCCTATTTATAAAAAAATTGGAAAGGCTGCTTTTCAATTATTCAATTCCTAATCAAAGTGAAAATTTATGGTAATAAAGAATATATACCTTAGAGCAAAACATTATAGCAATCACCTTTTAAAAATATCTGCCTAGCTCTTGAAAATAATACCTTCTCCAGGAAAGTAGTAGATCCAAGTAGCCCAAATTGGACTCTTTGTCCCCATCTCCCAGGCTATAGCTGGGCTAATGATATTCTGATTCCAGGAATTTAGAATTTGAACAGAGAGACACAAAGGCTGGGAACTGGGACCTGGCCCATTAAGAACAGAGATATTGGCTGGGTGCGGTGGATCACGCCTGTAATCCCAGCACTTTGGGAGGCCGAGGTGGGCGGATCACCTGAGGTCAGGAGTTCCAGACCAGCCTGACAAAGATGGAGAAACCCTGTCTCTACTAAAAATACAAAATTAGACAGGCGTGGTGGTTCATGCCTGTAATCCCAGCTACTCAGGAGGCTGAAGCAGAATTGCTTGAATCTGGGAGGCGGAGGTTGCAGTGAGCTGAGATCGTGCCATTGCAGTCCAGCCTGGGCAACAAGAGAGAAACTCCATCTCAAAAAAGAAAAAAGAAAAAAAAAAAAGATATTGATGGAAGAATGTTAAACTGCTGATGATGTCAAAGAGCTCAGAGATGGCCCATGGACACCCTTCTCAAGCCACCCACCCTTTTCAACTCTTTCTCGGAGTCTGAAAAAAAAATTGCACTATCCTTCTACTACATTTCTTATTTACTTATGTACTTTTTTGGTATAAGGCAGTTATTCCTTACAATCGAAAAATAAAAACAAAACAAAAACTTAAGTAATGTAATCTCTTTCAGCTTTAATATTCTGTGTATCAGTATTTCTCATTTCTTTGACATGGCCATTTGTTAAGATTTATTGACTATTAACTGAGGTCAATAAATGATTAACTCATATAAATGATTCTGCAAAACATATTTTTGAAAAATCATTACTAATGGTGTTATAACCGAACTTGATCTGTAAAGAGTTAACAGTAAACTGACCTTGTGCTTGCTCAAAATAATATGCTCAACATTCATTCAAAGAATATTTATTGATGACTTGTTATGCAAGATGTTAAGAACTGGGAATAAAAAGATGACAGAGACAGCCATAGGCCAGTCTCTTCCCATGGGCTCCAGTCAAGGAAGCAG